GAGTGCACCAAAATATGCGTATTAGCATTATAAAGAAACAGATCCAGTCAATGAGCAGTGCTGATACTTCCAGGTTTCCTGGCTTTGCGCACAATGCTAGACTACACTACAAAATTCCCCAATAATCTTCAACCCACTCTGGATTTAATTCCAGCCCTTCCTGCTGAGCTCCTTGCCAAATAAGATATCTCACTAGCTTGGCAACTGAGTGCTAATTGTAATATTTCTTTCACCGTTCAGTTTATGCAGCGTCTCGGGAGGAGGTAATCCGTCCTCAGAGTGCTGCGGTGCTTCAACTGAGGGTTGGTCACTTCACTTCTGCCATCTAGGGGAGGATGAACCACTTAGACAACACACAAATTCACACATATAAATGCTTGGAAACTTTTTCAAACCCGGTTTGACCTCAACGGTATGCTGTCCAAATCTCCAAACCAACATTCTGAATGATCCATATGAAATACATTAAACAACAGCAGCACAAGAGTGTTTGTTGTGCTGCCAACATGAACAAACATTTAATGACTATTAAAAGCCAAATTCACAACATTCCAGATGTTGTTATGACAGTTGAAGGAAGTCTCGGCAGAGGCGTAATGAATTAAATACTCTTGTTATTTAACATAAACAGAAAAGACGTATAAAAAAGGATTGGTTTTTTTTCTCTTCTTTACAGTATGTTTAACTTGTCTTCCTTGTGTTGAAGTCCAAACCAAAGGAAGTACACTAGCCAAACCTAACGACCTAAAAAAAATTAGAGCTTCAGTCTCGGTTTGAAGACCTCATTGGTAAACATGCTCTATAATGCAACAAAAACAGACAAAAACTGCTTGAATCTCTCTCACACACACACACAAACCAGCTTCTGCCGTGATTACCTCGCTAACAACATCCAAATAAGTCACGTAAGGTTGCGATTTAAGAATAATTTCACAGTTGGCACGTATGTGGGTTGTCAGAATAACTAGTCAAAAGAAGCCTTTTATAATTACATTAGATTAGGGTCACGAAACACCAATAAGATGCATTTCTTAGAGCTCATTCACACAGAATGTGTTTAAAAAAAAGGAAAAGAAAAAAACTCTGGGTTAAAAACCTTTTTAGTCCAAGGGCAAATATACCGTAGGACAGAACACATGGTGGGCTAACTTTCCCCAGTAATGTGATTGTTTATTAAACCCAGCATAATGGGTTGATTTTATTCATTCATTTTTACTGTATGTACACACACAAAAAAAAAACTGATCTTGCCTGAAAATGTGTTGTTGATGTAGGTGAAATTGTTTAGCTTTGATGGCAACAGCACAGTGCTTTAAAGGGAATGGATTTAGAGACTTAACTTAAAAGACAGAACTTCTCACAGCACGTTAAAAATGCTCTAAATTCAACGCTTTTAAAGCACTGTCACTAAATATTAAAGCAAAAATGAAAACTAAACTAGATGTCTATTCGGACTCATCCCTAGCAGCAAAGCAATAGTGCAAACGGCAGAGAAAAACAAATAAAAATACTATATATATATATATATATATATATATATATATATATATATAGATTAGGGCTGTGCAAAAATTAATTGCGATTAATCGCATCCAAAATAAAAGTCTGTGTTTACATAATATATTTGTGTGTGCTGTATATAATTATTTTGTATATATAAATACCTATGCATGCATGTATATATTTAAGAATTATTTGCGCTTATATTCTGTATATATATATATATATATATATATAAATCAATACATAACCTATATTATATAAATATTTTATATATGAATAACACATTTTCTTAAATATATACATGCATGTGTGTGTATTTATATATACAAAATAATTATATACAGCACACACAATATATATTATGTAAACACAGACTTGAGTTCAGATGCAAAAGCCTCTAAATGCCATTTGAAATTTTCTTCTAGAATGGTCATTTTTATCAAGCCTGTATATTTAAGTTCAGTAATTTCACTTAAATGGCAATTAATAGGTAATCTTCATTGCCACTTAAGTGAAATTACTGAACTTAAATATACAAGCTTGATAAAAATGATCATTTTAGAAGAAAATTTCAAATGGCACTTAGAGGCTTTTGCATCTGAACTCTTCATATATATATACAGTATATATACAGTACACACACATATATATATATATATATACATACAGTATATACATATATATATATATATATATATACATACACATAATATATATATATATATATATACAAAACAGTTGGTTCCAGTACTTCATTCTGATTGGTCAATAGCTGTGCTTTATTCATGATAAAACACAGCTATGAGTAGTCAGAGACTATTTTTTTCTAGCGAAATGAAGGCTTTTAGTTTTTTTTTTGTTTTTTTTTAAGTAGATTTTACTTCATGAAAGTTACACTAATACGGTTTTTTTTTTTACTTTAATATTTTTATTCTGTGGTAACTATTTTATAAAAGCGAGGCAAGTGCTGTACCTTATTGCTAACACACACACATATATATATATATATATAGATAGATAGATAGATAGATAGATAGATAGATATTTAAAAAAAAACTTTTTTAACTCATCTATCACAGACAAAAGTGCCCTGGCGAAACCCCGCTGGCCACCTGACATTCTTCTCCCTTCCTCTCATGACACGAGGACTAAATAAAAACAACATCCAGTCAGCGCGCTGCTTCAAAGCAACTAAAACACCCCTCCTTTCTCTCTCCCTCCTGCCTGCTTGGATCATTTTCAAACACACACAATTTAATAAAAGATAGACGTTTAATCTCCTCCATTCCAGAACAAGAGCGCCGCCGTGAAACCCGATCTCTGCTTAGTCTCAGCAGCCGGACACACTGAGCCACCGCGGCTACGTCTAACGAACGGAACGCATTAAAGACGAGAGGGACAGACGGGAAAAAGTTAAGAGGCCGAGACCACGAGAAAAAACAACAACAAAATAACAAACAGCACTTCGCTGGCAAGTTATTCGCAAATCATATTACCGCTAGGTAGGAAAAGCCAAGCTCAATTTTCGAATATTTGGGGCTCGATGTCAATGAAGCAGCCTTAGTCCTATTCGTATTAGCAAGGGGCGGATCGGGAGGACTATATACAGCAGGCCTAGCTGTTGGGATAGTGAGTTAAACTAAAAGTAGCGTGACTCAAGGGCAGAGCGTCATGCATTCTCCGGACAGTTTCTCTCCCGAACTGGAACACATGTGCAACAATTCAATGGGTTCTAGCTCATCTGTTTTGCCACGTAGCCATGTTTGAGCTCAACCAACTCAAATGCTTCAAAATGTTGAGTTCACTGAGCTCATATGACTACGGGTGAGAGGCTTCACAAACGATGAGTTTAAAAAGCGCTTGATCTCGCGGTCGACACGCCGAGATAAGCTCCATTAGTTTGCCCTACAGAGAAACCCTGACAAGGTTAATGAAGATTTCTGGCAAAGGTGCAAAGCATTACATTCGTTCTGATTAAGGGGACGTGGAATGGAAATGGTGGGCGACAGGCAGTATGAAGAACAAGCTGCGGAGGGCATCTCGCAGTCGGACTACAAATGGAGGCATATATCAAACATGACAGATATATAAGTTTTCCCCTCAGAGTTGGCTAAGCTTACATAGCACTCCATTCCACGCACAGCTACGTTTTTTGTTCCAGCGACGTGCGTGCCGCTCGCGTGGGTCAGAGACGGACCGATTCGGTCGACCTCCTTGGTTGTTTCTGAAGTCGATTCTGTATTATTCATCTCCACCTTAAGTTGGGGCAACAGCTGGAGAACAGGAGGCTTGGATTCCACTCCCAGAGCCATGGAGGCGTGTTAATCTTACACTTAACCAGGGAAATCGATTCAATTCATGTTGTATAATTCTGAATCAAAGCTCAAACTTGAAATTGGATTTGAGCTACGGCTTATGAAACTCTTTTTGGATGACGTTAAAGGGATATGCCACTTTTATTTTTTTGGAAATAGGCTCATTTTACAACTCCCTCAGAGTTAAACAGTTGAGTTTTACCGTTCTCGAATCCATTCAGACGGTTTTCTGATATTTAGAAGAATATCAGTAACCAGAGAGTTTCTGGTCCCATTGACTTCTATATATCAGAAAATTGGCTGAATGGATTTGAAAACGGTAAAACTCAACTGTGTTTAACTCTGAGGGAGTTGTAAAATGAGCCTGTTTCCAAAAAAAGTGGAGATTTTGCACAGCTGAAGGTCTAGAACTGATGTGCATTGTAAATCACTTGCATTAAAGGGATACTCATTGAGTTTTACCATTTTCGAATCCATTCAGCCAATTTTCTGATATATGGAAGTCAATGGGATCAGAAACTGTCTGGTTGCTGATATTCTTTGAAATATCAGAAAATCGTCTGAATGGATTCGAAAACGGTGAAACCCAACTGTTTAACTCTGGGGGAGTTGTAAAATTAGCCTATTTCCCTTTAGCCTATATCCCTTTAATGCAAGTGATTTACAATGCACATCGGTTCTAGACTTTCAGCTGTGTACGAATAAATGTACGAATCTTTTTTCGTGTCATTTGTTTCATTCAACGAACGAAATGAATGAGTTGACTCTGGAAAAGATTCGTTCATTTTGATAAACGAGTTCGAACTTATAAAACTTGAATTTTTTTCGCTTGATAAGACCCTTATTCGTCGTCTGGAATCGTTTAAAGCCCTTTGAGCAGTTTGCAGTTTGCACTGAAACTGTCTTTTGGACCTTGAACCGTTTGGTTCCCATTGAAGTTCATTATATGGAGAAAAATCCTGGAATGTTTTCATCAAAAACTTTAATTTCTTTTCGACTGAAGAAAGAATGACATGGACATTTTGGATGACATGGGAGTAAATTATCAGCAAAAGTTTTTTTTAAAAGGGAACTACTCCTTTAAAGTACTAACATTCATCCCTTCTGTTTCAGATACACTCTTTGTAATCAGTCATTCAGCCATCTTGATTTTTACAGTGGAACCTGTTGAGAGATTCTTACCTGGGCGATGTTTTTGTTGAGCAAATAGACACCGTATTCAAACTGGAAACGCTCTCCTCTGGGATAAAGGGGGAACCTGCAAACAAGATCATGAGAGAGTTTCAGCACAATTACACATGGTTCCCATACTAAACACAAAGCGAAGAACATTTTTTACGAGGTCGTAATCAGTTCATAACTTTGCACAGCACAACCTCACACGAAACAAAAAAGAAAAAAACAGCAGGTCATCTGGATAAACAGCTAACCAAACCTTTAAAGCCTGAAACTAATAACTGTATTTACAAACCAACATTCAGAGTCCAGACTCTTTTAGTGTTTATGTCCTGTGTAGTTAACTGAGCAATGATGATGCTTCAAACTCTTCGCAAACTTCGCACAGCGACAGGCCGTTTCTGACGTAAGACATTTGTGCAGATGTTAAGAGACCGCCTGGAGCTCTGGAGGTCTGGTTCTGATCCGCTTCTCAAATGCATGTCTGAAATACAATCTATTATCCCTTAAAATCATCATTCTGGCTTGTTTCTTTCGGTCAGTTCTCATTTAAACCACAAGTGTAATCATGATTCAGAAATGGCCGAACGGCACACAATATCAATGTCTACATCAGAGCAACGAATAATGAACTAACCAGTCAAGATGCACAACAGATGAACACGCCGGACTATTAATGCAATTCTGAAGGGTGCACATTGAAGCATTTACTGAGAATATAAGATATTGGAAAAAAGCTTTTTTTTTTTTTTTTAAATAAAAATAGTGAAGTTTCAGAGATCACTGGATGCCTATGATTAGGACAACACTCATTTTTAGCTAACCATTTTATCCTCTTGAAGCAATACATCAATATAAATATTGATCATTAGTCAATAAAATATGAACAAGAGCCGAATTTGCACTTCTAAAAAAGAAATATTAGTGCTTGTAATGCACCAAAAGATTAGAAGTAAAGTTTGGCTTAATACAATACAATACAATACAATGCAATAAAATACAATATAATATAATTATGATATAATATAATATAGTACAATATAATATAATATAAAACTAAATTAAAAATCAAGATTTTTAAATGGATAATTATTTTATACAGTCTGTACTTTTTTTATTTTTATTTATTTATTTATTTGACAGGGACAATGCAAACAAACATAGTGTCAAGACCAAGCATGTCACTGAAGTTTTGCATATAAAGTTTATAGCTATAGCTAATTTTCAACTCCTGTCCCTGGAAGGGCTTTTATACACAATAAAATTTACATGTTTAGCTACTTCAATTATATATATAAAAAAAAATTTAATAATAAAAAAAAAATAATAATAATAATACTAATAATAAAAATACTAATAAGCATACATACATATCATATACAACTCAAATAATTAAATGTAGTTAAAAATGAGTACAGTTTTGGTTTGTTTTTAACCAATATTTCAGCCTGGAAATGAACATCTTAAAGTCTGATACAGTCTTGACTTCGAAAGGTAAAGAGTTCCAGAGTTTTGAACTTTTTACAGAGAAGGTCGTCTGTCCAAAACTGGTCCTGCAGTATGATATTTTACAGTCAAGATTTGTGGAGCTCCTAGTGACTCGGATGTTGTCCTGTCTCACAATAAATGTACTTAGTGGCTCAGGTGCTAGATTATTAATGCACTTATAAATTAGTTTAAGAAAGGAAAATGTCATAAAACTATCAAAATTCATTAAATTATATTTCTTAAGGATGCTGCAATGATGATAACTTAATGGTTTTTTATCCAAAAGTTTTATTGCTCTATTATATAAGGATTTTATGCGTTTGATTGTAGTGGGAGCTGCTTGTGCCCATGATGTCATGCAATATGATATGTGAGAAAATATCATAGCATGTATGTACATTAAGGCTGCCTGGCTTGGAATGTAACTTCTAATTAATTTAAGACAATTGAGATTACTTTGTAATGTTTTCTGGATTTTCTTTATATGTTTTTCAAATTTAAGTTGAGGATCTAAGACTAATCCTAAATATTTAAATTCTGTAACTGTATGAATTTCTTTATTTTGTAACTTAATATTAAATCTTCCTTTTATTTCTATTTTTTTTAATGGAAAAGCACATGGAAACTGTTTTCGAGAAATTTAAAACTAATTGATTTTGAAAGAGCCACTGTTGAATGTCAAACATACTAGTGGACAGTATAGCTGCAGCCTGCTCAGGTGACTTGGCGGGCACATAAAGAACTGCATCATCCGCATAGAGCTGACAACTGGCACCTGAGCAGTGCAGAGGTAGATCATTTATAAAAAGACTAAAAAGCAAAGGGCCAAGTATAGAGCCCTGCGGGATGCCCATTTTTATATTTGAAAATGCAGATACGTTTTGATCAACCTTGACACACTGCACTCTAGAGCGAAGATAGGATGCAAACCACAACACAGCGTCATTTGAGAAATTAAAATGTAACATTTTGGATAAAAGCAAACTATGATTGACCGTATCAAAAGCTTTTGTAAGGTCGATAAATACGGCTCCTACCACATTACCTTTGTCCAGGGACTTTTTTACATTTTCGATTAAACAGCAGTTTGCTATTTCTGTCGAGTAACCAGGTCTAAACCCGAACTGGTAACAATGAAGGAGCTGTTTTTCTTCTAAATGGTCCATCAGTTGCACTACTACTACTTTTTCAATTATTTTGGATAAAACTGGTAAAATCGATATAGGGCGATAATTGCTTATAGAGTTTTGGCTACCACCTTTGAGCACAGGTATAATTATTCCTCTCTTCCATGCACTGGGAAATGTATTGGTTCTTATGGAGAGATTAATGAGGTGAGTCAACGGTTTGACAAGAACATCTTTATAATTTTTAAGAAAACCACTATTCATCATAAAAATATCATTAGACTTGGAATTTGAAAGTTCATCAATTATATTTGCAACTTTTTTTTCTGACACCTCTTTAATACAAAATGAATCTGTTGTGGTGTCTCTCAGAGAAAGATTAAAATGATCAACGGGCTGGAAGTCTTTTGATAATTGTTCAACTGACTGTACAAAGTAAGAATTGAATTCATCAGCTATGGTGGCACTATCGGTTATGCTTTTGCCATTGATATTAAGTTCTGTGATTTTTTTATGTTTATTTGATTTATTAGTCAAATTGTTTAAATGCTTCCAAAGTGAGTTATTTATGCCTTTGGAACTATCAATTAAATTAGTGTAATATGTTACTTTTGCTTTCCGCAACTCAGATAAAACTTTATTTCTCAAACCTTTATAAATCAAGAAATCTGTATTGAGTTTAGATCTTAAAGAAGTTTTCAAGGCTAAATCTCGCTTCTTCATAAGAATTCGTAATTCATTATTTATCCATGGCACCGTATAATCCTTTTTTTTCAATTTGATCTGCTTTGTAAATTTTTCCATCAGACATGTAATAGCTGTAGTCAAGGAATTACAACATTCCTCTACATCATCTAGTGTCAAAATTTGTCCCCAGTTTATATTTTTAAGTTCTCTTTCAAATTGTGCAGTCTTACATTTAGGAAGAATGAAATGTGTTTTTTCATGATCAGATTTACCAAAGTACTGCAGACGCTTTTTCGTCAGTTTCCTAACAGTCAGCGTCATGTTATGGTCAGAGAGTCCGGTAATCAAATTATACGTCCTTGTAATTCGTTCAGGTCTATTAGTAAATGCCAAATCAATGAGGGTCTTAGTCTGTCTTGTTATTCTTGTAGGTCCTTCAATCATTTGTCTATAGTTAAATTTTGTCATAAGTGCTTTAAGTTTATGTTTAGCGTTTTTATCAGAAAACTTGTATAGTTTTGTGTATATTTTTTATTATACACAAAAGGAGGTATTGTATAATTTTGTAGTTTTATAACATATTTTGTTTCCATATTATTTTTATTCATTTATTTATTCCTGTATCTTTATCATCCTTTTGGTATAGTACCCTTGCTAATATATATATATATATTTTTTTTTTTTTTGTGTGTGTGTGTGTGTGTGTGTGTGTTATCTTAATTTTTCATTTATTATTGCTATTTTTTGTTTATTTATTTAAATTTTTTATGTACTATTATTATTATTATGTATATATTTGTATATTATATATTTCTCTTGTCTTTTTTTACTGGGGTAATGGCTGATTGTTTGTCTTCATAATTTTGTATGTTTAAACAATAAAATTTTGATAACAAAAAAAAACTTTGCATTGATTTGAAAGTTTTAAAGTAGGCTACACTTAGGTTTTAAGCATTGGTTTGAAGTAAATTAGATTAAAATGCTAAAATAAAATGAACAGACAGTATAAAAAACTGAATAATTGTGCTAGCAGTTAGCAGTTTAGCAGCAATGGACACGTTTCAAAAACAAGCACACATCCTGAACCGAACATCCTATAAATTTTATTGGAATATATGGCCTAAAAAACCCAATTGGAAAGTCCCTATGAAAAAAAAAAAAAACATGGGAAAGGCTCAACAAACAGACAGAAAGACAACTTGTGAATATTCTGTCCTCAAAGCTACTTCCAATAACACCTGACATAACTGCAGCCCTCCTAATGTCAGAGTATGACATTACTGCCCTGTTATTAAGAGCTTACTGAGGAGAGAAAGAGAGGGAGAGAGAGACAGAGAACAAGAAGAGGACAGAAAAGCCTTCAGCTTAACCACCTGTGATCAACAAAAACATCACCACTTTAACCACAAAGCTCCCGTGACAGCGCTGTCAGCCTTATTAAAACACAGCGTGTGTGTTTTCAAGACTTCATACCTGAGGAATGCATTTATAAGAGTCTCACGATTGTGAACGTGCGACGTACAGTCATTCATATTTTATTTTCATAAAACTGCACAGTAGGAGAAGTCGTGGACCGGGGTCACAGTCTTTAGCCTACGGGCGGCAGACACCGACAACCCGGAGGTGTGAGTGTTCTTCCGGAAGTTCCTCTGTAATCCGTGAGGCCTTTTTGTCAGTCACACCTGGGACTCGTGCTTTTAATCGCGGAAGAGTGGAGACAGACCCAGAAATCCCCACCCTGTACTTCCTGTCTTAACAATTCTGTCTCTCACAGACATAC